GGGCCTTCTCTGTGGTAGCCCCCAAATTCTGGACCATCTCCTACCTGGTGCCAACCGAGCCATCTTTTCAGGAGCATTAAATGCCCTCTATTCATGGACATTTCATGGCATTTCATGGCATAGGATAAGACAGCTACATTAGCTTATCTAGCATTTTACTGCAATTGCTTTTAACTGTACAAATCCCTTTAAATTTGAAATTTTATGCTGCATTGAACTACCCAGAGAGCTTTGGCTCTTGGGAGAGGAGATCAATTTAACAGCACCACCAACAACACTTAAAACACAGAGAAGGAGAGATGCAAGTGAGGATGGTGAGGGGGAAAATGCACACTGAAGTCAAAACAATAAACAGTCGCGTGGTAACTTCCGAACATACAAAGCTGCCATGCTGCGTCCAGTCCTTGCCCCAACCAGCCCAGGTCCATCCACACCGAGTGGCGGCAGCTTCCCCGGGGATTCTGCTGGGATTCCTCCACCCACAGAGGCCGGGGATGGCGCTGCAGCCACGGCATGCCAAGCAAGCCTTCCCTCTCCCCTTCGTGGCCGAGGGTGCCATCCAAAGGATCCCAGCACCATCTGGGAGAACGCAGGACTGCTCCTGTCCAAGCAATGAGGTTCAACACCCCCCCTCCCCCCGCCTGCACAGAGCTTGTAGCTGGGCCTCCGAGGAAGAACGAAGGGGCGTTACAGATGCAGGGACGGAAGGAGGCCGGGGCCGGGCAGCTGCATCCAGGCACCCTTCCCACCAGCCCCTAGCCCTAAATCTAGGTGACAAAAAAAAGCAGAGGTCTGAGTAAAATGCAGGGCCAGGTCAAGCGGTGGCAAAGCTCAGTGCCTCCGTTCCTTGTGCCTCGAAAGGATGCTCACAATCTTCCAGACTGGGGTGGGGGTGGGGGTTACAAGCACCTGGTTTGGGGGTAATGCAGTTGCTCTCTAACAGATCTATTATGGCTGAAAGTCTTGTGGACCAGAAGCCCTCCAGCATTTCTGTGCAGCTCAATAGCAACGCTCTGTGGCTTGTTCACAAGATGGTAATAGAATAGAAAACTTCTCTCATTTAAAACTGGGATGAAGTCCCCATCTGTCTGTCTGTCTGCCTTTCTTTCTTTTATTTGGGATATTTCTAACCCATCCAATCGCTGCGCGTCTCTGGATGGCTTACAACAATTATTCAAAAAATACGACAATGTAAAACATCATCTTAATAGCCCAAACAATAATAATATTAATAATACTAATAATCCATGACTGGTATTTAAAAACACAATTAAAATTTTTTAAACTTTAAAATACTGGGTGAATAAAAAGGTCCTGACCTGGCACCGGAAAGCATATAATGTCGGCGCCAGGCGGACCTCTCTGGGGAGCACATTCCATAGCAGTTAAATGCATGAAGCTTTGTCCCCTGGAAGGTGCTCGGGAGAGGCAGATAGAACGAGCCGGGCAGAAGAATCTCCGGAAAGTGAGGATTTTAGAAATCAGTATACTGCATGGGAAAATACGCCACATTTTAGGGTTATGGGGGAAATCCAGGGTAGGGTTAGGCTTAGCAAAACAAAGGTGTTTCTGCTGCTTCCGAGGCCTGGAAGGTGCTTAGGAGGGGCAGATAGAACGAGCTGGGCAGAAAAATCTCCAGAAAGTGAGGATTTTAGAAATCGGGGTGCTGCAGGGAGAATTACCCCATATTTTAGAGCTATGTGGGGAATTAAGAAAATTTTTAATAAAACATTTCTACCCCATCTTTCACGACAGCTCTGTGCAAAAATCTATGTCCTGCGACCACTGCATGGAAGTTTCAAATGTGCCAGACGCGTGTGGTCAAGTCAGCCACACATAACGGACGCTGGCTCTCACCAATGGCTTCACAGAAAAGCATGCGTGTTTTCAAGAGGGACAGGATGGGGCAGAATGAATTATGTGACAGCGTGCAGATATCGGCAACGTTTTTGGCTGGCCAAGCCTGGCTTTTCTTGATGCCATAGCAGGAAGTCCCTAGAAGCCAAATTCTGATCCTCTGTGCACCCGCCCACTGTGTTGCGGAGCAGAATCAAGCTTGTTCCCACACTCCTGTACACAACCTGCTCTTGCGATCTTGTTAAGCTGTCTTTCTCCTTTGCCTGGCCTTGCTGTGTGGCACAAATTGCTGCCTAGTTGGGATACCTTGCTTGATAGGAGCACTAAGTCACCCGGCAGCCTGAGGAGCGAGCGACTTCTGGATGGCTGAATTCCCTAAAATGCCAATTAAGCCGATCCCCTGACACAAACATGTGCTTTAAAAAAAGAAGGCGCCTTTGACTAAAATAACTGCCAGGCGCTGCTGAACAGCTTAAAATACATCCCAGGCTTCTCAAAATAGATTTGGGGTTGGGAGGGTGGAGAGACCCACCAGATCAGATTATCGACGTCTCTGGGCTCGGAGATTAGCTTGTTCCTGGAGAACCCACAAAAGGCTCCGCTGTCCAGACTTCTCTTTAAGATCATTTTATTCCAAAGCATGCAATGATGATTTTCAACTTTGCTCGCTTCACATAAAACGTGTGCTACTGCTATCGATCCAGTACTGTTACAAGCGTCTGTTTTCATTCATGCACGCATTGGCCTTTCATTTGCAAACCCTGTTCTTGCCCCCACCCCAGGTAAATGGCCTGCAGATTGCTTTTAAATATACTGCCTATCTAACTTTGCCCGGGGCATTTGCCATTTCAGTGGCGAACGAACCAGGACACGGGCAAATAAATGTCAAAAGTTGTTCCGTGGAGGAAAATTGGAACACGACTAGCGGCTGGGCAGCGCTGGTGCTGCTTCGCATTCTTCTGTCCAACAGGTGCCTACCTGTGTACAAGCGTTCGCATTTAAAAGATGAACATCTGAACCCAAATTTCAATGAGCTGCAAAAGTGACTGAAGTGTTACTGAACTAGCATTAGATCACAGAATGGGTTCAAACAGTGACTGCACGTTTACCAAATGATTTGATTATCAAGAGGTTAGGATGCTCTGGCATTGCATAAGAACCCTTTCTAGTATTTTATTTTGTTGTAAACTTCCCAGAGAGTGTTGGCGATGAGCTGTATAGAAATGAAATAAATAGTAATATCGAAATGAATAAATAATAAAATCTCCAATGAGCCGTTTACAAAACCACCCTAGGAATCTTTGTTCTACTGACCTTCCAGAAACTGAGAGCAAAGAAGAGACCTGACAATCTATATATACGTTAAAAATATAAAACCACGTTTTAGGATAATTCCTTCCGAGGCTGCTTGTCAGCAAAAAAAGCCCCTCCTATGACAGCATGCCTCAAATGTAATAAATCAATGATAAAAACAGAAGTTAAAGAATTAACCATTAAAGCCAGATTGTACCCGCCCCTCCTCACTGGGCTGCTCCCAGTGAGAGAAAAATCTAAGCCCTGTTTATTGTAATGGGACTTCCCTAAGTAGGATTTACACAGGTTGCAACACTCTGCAGGCACCTATCCATGACCCAGTCATTCATGGCAAGTTATTAAATGCAAACTGCGGTTTTTGAAGACAAAAATCTCAGCCTGGAGGCCCCTGTTCATTCTGTACAAGAAGACACAAATGACCACAATGTAACCTGGGTGATGGTGGAAACCCTCTGCTCTAGTTTCATGTGAGCCCCCGAGTATATCCCATCAGGAGAGCCCTCCATCTTGATCTCTCAAGCCAAGGGAAAGACAAATGCGGGTTCTAAGCTGAGAATTATTTGCTTGCTTATGATACCCCATTAAGCTGCTGCATGTGGACAAATATGTTTGGGTCACAGCAGTGCTGCGTGGGGAAATTATTCCTAACAACTCCAGGCTGGCTGCCCACAGCTTCCAGTTTTGAACCAGAACTTCTCGCAGGAGCAAGGATTTTAAAATGGATCCAGGGAGACCTGGGTGGTGCAGAGAATTACTGCAACTCTGCAGCTTGGTTTGAAGGTAATGCGAAGATATGATTTAGCACCACTTGAATGGAGTTCAGACTCATGGAGCGTCTCCCCTCTTTTTCTCATCCAGCAGGACAAGGAGAGGGAGACGGGGAACATCACCTTTATTCCTAACTAGCATCCTCCATCAGGCCTAAATGGAGAACTCTGAGTCCTTTAAACTACGGTTTGACACCAAACCAAAGGGCATAAACCACAGTTTGAACTTGGCTTAAACTAACCAGAGTTGAGCCCCTGGTCTCCCATACAGAGGCTTTGGGTATTGCTGTGCCCACCGAGTTCTCTACTCGTACCTTCTGAGCTTTCTGTCCTTCCTAGTTTTAATACTATTTCTCCAGCTTAAAAAAATAACTGGCATGCTGCAAAACAAAGAAATGCCTTCCAGCAGCATCTTGATTGGGATTTAAGACTGGTTTTGTCTTTCGTTGTGAACACCTCACCTCTGTCTTATCCTTAGGTTCTTAAGTGAGTTTACTTTTCTTTTAGTCTTACCAGCCGGGTTTTGAGAAATGAGCATGTTGTGACCAGCCGAGCCCATGATGGCAGTGTTTGAGGAAGGGACTCCTGACATTCCCAGCATTCCAAATGTGCCCACCAACCCCAAGAGGTTAGGGACGCCTGGTAGACCCAGATCATAAACCATGGTTTGATCCTGGCTTGTTTAACAACCCAGAGTCCCCAGCATTCAGTAGCAATGGGGATGTAAAGTTAGTTTTAACAACAGACATTGGGCAAAGGAGACATGAGAGAGGAGAGAACTAGCCCCAGGCTCACAGGAATTGACCCACATGATGCTAATCTAGGGTTCTACACATTCTTTTAAATAACACAAATTCCTTCTCCATCTTGCCGCATTCAATCCCTAGGTGAGGCTAACATCTGACCACAGTTAACACATTAGAAGCACACGGATGAAGATCTCATGATAAGGACCAGAGGGAAAACATTCTTTTTCAAGATGCTGAGAGGTGAACGGTGTCTGAGATGTTCTGTAGGGAATGGGATAGAAAAGCTTTTAATAAATACATTAAATAAACTTACATCTACTTCTCCTTGATCGATCACATAAAAATTGTCCCCTTCATCTCCTGCAAGAATAGAAAAACACAAATCAGTTCTGACGGTTTTAGAAAGCCCTCATAAGGTTGTTGAAGAGACCGTAAAGCCACCTTCCCCAACCCAGTGACTTCCAATTCTGTTGATCAGAATTCCCATCATCCCCAGCCATTTGGCTAGAGTTGACCAGAGTTGTATTCTAACGCCTTTGTAAGGCGGCAGGATGGGGTAAGTGGACATAAAGTGCGTGGGCAGATTTGCAGTGGTAAATGTTGTGATTCGGTGCATCTGCTGGAGTTGTTTTCCCCCGGAATACTTATAATAAAGAGGGTGCCACTGAAAATCCAAATATTCCCTCTCCTTGTTTCATTGCTATTCGGCACCCAAGGACATGACGGAAAGAACTGCCAAATTTCTTCACTCTCATTAACATGCGCTCCAGGTCAACTTGCCTTCTGGGAAAGCGATGCATGCAGCTTTCCAGACAGAAGGGCAAAGTGCCATCTTTCGCCTCCACCTGGCATCTGCAGGGCCCATCTGCCACTGCTGTTCTGCAAAGTGGGCCTTGGAGGGTGCAGTTTCTGGCAAAGAGCCAGCAGGCAGGAAGACGATGCCAGCCTCTCTCTCTCCCACCCCTTTTGCCCTCTGACTACTCTGCACACTCTTCCTCAAGCCCAGGTGCCATACCTGGAGTGTGCTCACCTGGCGCCAACACCACCCTCCATCCAGGCTGCCCCGATTTGGGTGCATTTGATAGCATAGGATGGGCTCTTTAAAGCATCTGTTGGATTGCTTATGGCTGTCATGTATGGTTTAGTTGGCAGTTTGGTGGAGTCAGGAGAGGTATTTTAGCAGATAACTGCTTTGGGTTGGTTTAAATTGTGTATCTTACACTGTTGCTGAAATTTGCAGGTTTTTAAAAGGAAGAGATCAAATAAACCTTCTTCTTCAACATCGCCATGTTGGCCCTAGACTGATTTCAGAAACCCCCCACCTGGCAAAAGCAGTGTGTTCCTCTTCTAGGGAAGGAAAGAGGGAGAGAAGGGATGGGGTGGAGAGCGGGTGCCCCCATTTTGGGTCTGAATACCTCAAGAGACAGTGTGTCCCTTGACAGATAGAAGCTGCCCCTGTCCTGTTCAGGATCTGAGTTTGCGAGAGAAAGAGGGAGGAAATGGCCCGTGTGGAGATAAAAAGATCCCTTTGCTGCTTCTGAAGAAATTGCCCCCTTCCCGTCCTTTGCTTTGCAGGTAAGATGCAGATTCTGGGCCCCTCGTGTCTTCGGGGGAACCCAGAAAAAGCAGAGAGTCTTCCTAAGCAGGGATTCTCCAAGAAAGGGGCTTTTCTCCCACTACTGCCAGGTGTGTCAAGGGGACACGCTTACCCTGTTGGATGACAGTTTCCCCAGCTATGTGCGTAACCGGGAACATGGCATCAAAGATGTCACTGCAAAGGAAGAAGAAGGAAGACATATTTAAGCAAGGTGTTGCAGGCTCATCAGACAAAAGCCCAGCATTCGACCAGGTCCTCCCACTCCAGTATGGATAGAAAGAAGCCGCTGCGTTGCCGAAGGCTGTGAGTTTTACAGTCAGGGTGATTAAAGAAGAGTCTTTTCAAAACACAGCTTCTGAAATCAGGAGGAAGGTCGAATTAGTAGAAAATTCCCTTGCAGGTCCTGTTTAAACAGTCCCCCAAGGTGAAGAACATTGTAACTGAGCTCCTTGTCTGATTCCAGAAGGACAGAAATTAAAACACAGAGAGAGAGAGACTTGCAAATGAAGTTCTAAACTCACTACCATGGAAGTATGGACCAGACTTGATTTGTTGTGCTTAGCCACTACATGAATCTAACTTAATGAATGAACTTAAATATAAATTATAGGCATGGGGGCCTCAGCCAGATTGCAACTGTACTGTCGCGGGTGCAGGCCTGTAATCCTTTGTTCTCTGTCCCAATACATATTGAACCCCTTGCACATTGCCCTGGTACTCGAAATGAACTTCTAGGCTTATAATAGCCTGAAGTGCCTGATCCTGCCTCATCTTGAGGAAGCTAAGCAGGGTCAGGCCTGGCTGGAGTCTGGATGGGAGACTTGATTCCTGCACTGAGCAGTTTGTTGGGCCCAACGAGCTTCTAAGCCTCTTCCAACGGTCTGATTCTATCATTCACCTAATTCTCGGTGCAGGTTCTTTGGGCCAGGCTGCACGCGGTGGATCTCAAGGTCCGAAGACACAGATGACGCAAAAGAGACCCCATGAGCCTGAAATCTTCCCACCCTTGGTCCTCATTACTAAACCATCACTTTTCAATGGTAGGGAAATGCATATTGCAAACTTGGCTAGCGGGGTATTCCGGCTGCAGAAACAGCATCTTCTTCACAGAATGGATGGCAACACCGAATGGTCATCCAGCCCCTGCTTCATACAGACGATTCCTGAACCGCTGGAGAGCCACTATGGATCCGTGTTAACAGAAACGGACAGATAGATGTGAGTGGAAAGAGAAGTTTCCATATAAGCGGGATTCTATGGGGCAATAGCAGGCCCTTTCCTATGCGTCTTTCCCACCCCTTTATGAGACCGTGTATGGCCACATCAGCCATGAGGAATGGAGATGGGGAGGTGCCCACTCTACAAGCACGTTGCTCTGCCTCTGTCTGCTCCCAAGCCTGGGAGGGCCCATGTTTTCCTGGGGTTTCCTTCTGTGTTTTCCTCCAGCCCTGTTGCATGGCCCGTGTGCATCTGGGAGTCCCTCAAAAACTGGGGATGCTGGGAGCACAGAATCCTTGCGGGACGTTTCTGCCCAGCTGAAAGTCAGGAGACTGCAGCTGGGAGAGACAGGCGTTCTGTTTAGCAGCAGAGAATGACAGGTGGCACATGGGTTAAGCAATCCTTTTCTGCCATCTATGCAAACACAACACCTCTTGAAGTTGCGTTTTTTGACTGAAATTGCCTGGAAAAGAGAGGTTATGTCTCAAGATGCAGGGGGAGGAGGGGATGTGTTACTCCACACCTGGGCACAACGTAAATCATTTATTTTCCAGCACTCTGAAATACAGTCTTCCTTTCTGATGGGTTTTGTACTGGATGTTTTCCAGTGTGATGGTTCTTGTTGACAATTGACTTTATTTTTTTCAAAAATTGGCCATCGGGTTACTTTGTGGCGCTCCTTTGTACAACAGGTAGGTTTCTGCTAAGCAAAGAGAAGGGGTGGAGGGAGATGAGACTGAAGTAGAAGAAAATGAGGGTGAAGTTTTGTAACAGGGTAGGGATCAGAGATATGGACATCACCTGCAGGCAGGAAAACAGGAAAGGAGGGTACCGATTGTGGTGCAGAAATAAACGGATGGTAGGAAGGGGAGAGAAGGAAGGGAAAGGGGCTATGGGATGGAAAGAGAGTATATTCACTATGGCATGGAAGGGAAAAGGAAGAAGGAACAAGAAAGAAGGGAGAGGATTATGAATTATCTCTGGAGAAGCAGGGGCACAAGACAGAATGCTGCGGGGCACAGGGAAAAAAGAGGGACTCTAAAATAAAATAAAATAAAATAAAATAAAATAAAATAAAATAACCATTGAACTCAACTGGTGGCAACATGGCTTTTTTGATGATTAATGCAGTGACTCAGCCCTCTTGAATTAATAAAAACGTACATGTGGACTTCAGAGGGATTCGAGCTATACACCCTGATGCTGGGTGCATTCCTCACTGGCCGCATGAGCAAGAAGAGCAAATATAATAAAACAAAAGATTCACCCAAGCCGCCGGGAGGTCAACAGCTAACCTGTAGCCAATTTTCACTCCCATATATGGGAAACTGCACATTACAAAATCCCATTATTAGCTTATTTCCTGTCCAGCAGTTCCAAAATTCACTCCGGCTTGGTTCTAGGAAACACCCGGTCATAAATTGAAACTAAAGCATTATCTTTAGTCCAGGAGAGTTATCATTTTGCCAGAGTGGTTGGGTTACATGTGCATGCATGCACAAACACACACACACACACACACACACACACACACACAACCTGGCTAGGGGGACGGTTGGGAGGCTCAAAGCTGCCCCCTGCTGGAGCGGCTGCCGTGCTCCTGGCGTAGAAGCAGGCCAGCAGGACTTAAGGAGCATCTGGCCCCGTTGCATCCCATTCCCCTTCCAGAGGTGGCCAAGAAAGGTGAGGCTGATGCAGCCAACGCCACACCGACTGTGCCAGAGGGCAGTGTCCAGACAGCTTCATCTGCCCGCCTTTGGTTTGGGATGCAATTCAAAGCGTTGGCACTGTCCTTTAAAGGCTGGAAGTTGGAGAGAATCTCCATCTGTCACAATAGCAACTGTTAAAATGGCTCCTCCCCAGTTGCACTCATGAACTGAGCTAAGGAAAACCCAGCAGTAGATCTGTGTGCTTAAGAAGTATCAGCTCCGTTATGGCACGGAAACAAATTCCTTGGCTCTAAGGGGAAGTTGCCAAAACTCTATTAAAACCCCCACCAAAGCTGATCTGGCAAGCTGGAGTCTGCCTCTCCCTCCCATAAGGGCAGAGCTAGGTAGAAAGTAGGTCTCCAGATGGTCTGTACCTCAATTCCCAGCATTCATGCCTGTTAGCCATGCTGGTAGTGACTTCTGGGATTTGAAGTCCCACACATTGGGAGATCTACCTTCTGTTGACCCCTGCCCTGGAAAACATTTCCCAGAACCCTGCACAAAGCCAAAATCCTTTGCAGGAATGCAGCAGTTCCTCCTCTGAGACAAGCTGATTTTTTAAAAAAGTTCCTAAAAGTTGAATATCTAAATATTACTGCAAATGGGCCAAGAAAATTCTAGGCTCACTGCTAGATACTGGCTTGCTTTGGAGGAATTTTGCATGCACAGACACGCACACACACACACACACACACGTATGTATATCTTTTTATTTTTGCATGTATATGCTTCCCCGCACTCCTAAAGGACTCTGATTTCCATGTTCAGTACAGCTTTCTTTAAAGACATCTGACACGGTGAGCTCACAAGAGAGGGGAAAGACCTGTCACAAATTCATAATTTAAAAACCATTATAATCCGCAGATTAGGGCTCGACAGAAGAGACAGGTGTTCGACATTTTCTTTGCTCCGCTGAACTTTTATTGCCCAAGACAAAGACATGCCTGCAGGCACCTGACATTCAGAACTTCTAAACCCACAACAGGGAGCTTGCAAGAGGTGCAGAGAAAGAGGGGGGGAAGTTATTTCTATTACTATCCCCATCCTGAGGTCCAAAGACTTTCCGAGCAGTTTAGGGTTGGATATGTGAACTGCATAGAAGCATCCCATACATGGCAGTGGCAATCCACAAGGAAACAAGCATTTCTTGGGAAAAGTGCTCCAGAATGGAGAGAAATTACCAGGACAATCCAATGCATGTCTCTTCAGGAGTTTCTCTCCAGTAACTTAAGCAAAGGACTGAAGGCTGAATGTCAAACAGTGTTCCTTCTATGGGGCACCCCAAGGAAACCTGGCCAGTGGAGACTCTCAGGGAAAAGAGAAAGGATCTCTCTCTCTCTCTCTCTCTCTCTCTCTCTCTCTCTCTCTCTCCCCCCCCCCACACACACACACACACACCCCACTTTTTAAAGAAAAGTGCTGATCAAGATAGGGAGAGAGATTTTTGCTTCTAAGAATGATTTCAGAATAACACTGCAGGGTTTTTAACAGCATGAGTTTAGTCCCAAATGGATTTATTATGCAGAATGTGACTGATGTGATTATAGGTGTTAAATGAATCTAAAGTGTTTTACCGGCTGGTTTTAGGGGGTTTAATGTCTCAGTTTTAATTCTTTTTATTCTTCTACCACTACCATGACCAGTAAGACTGTTGCTTGGAGATTTGTCGTGGCTTAATGGGTGAATGGCGAATGCCCAGAAGGATGAGCAAGTAGATCAAATCAGGCCAGAATGTGTCCTGGAAGCAAATAGGAGAAGGCAAGACCGCCTGGAGAAGACAATCAGGCTGGGCAAGCCTAAGGCAGAACAGGAAGGCCGACTATGTGGTGGATCCATTCTATAAAGGATGGGACAACCCTGAGATGACGCGAGCTAAGCAGGGCTTCAAGGACAGGGCAGTTTGGAGGATGCTCCTTCACTGGGTCACCATAGGCTGGGCATGACCTGAAGGCAACAAGTAACAGACCTGGACTCTGGAACCAAGCAGCACAATGTGCTCCGTCCCAGGTGAGCCACAGAACCTGCCAAAATGATGGAAGGACAGTAGCAAAGCACCTGTAGCAAAGCACCTGTAGCAAAGCACCGGCCCAGTAGCAAAGCACCTGTATTGCATGCAGAAATCCCGGGTTCAATTCCTGATGCTTCGACTTTAAACAGACCCACATTTTCACCCTTAGGATGGTGACTGGGAGGGTCACATGCTCTGAAGCAAAGGGCAGCCCTCAAAAGGATTCAAACGAGCAGGTT